AGATTTTGTGTAATGGATTCCACTACACCACTAAGCAATTTTTAATGAAATAATTAAATAAATTATCGTTAATTATTCCCATTCATGGGTTCTTATTCACTTTGAATGATTATATTCCTAATCCTATTTATTTAATTTTGCTATTTGAACTTTTTGTGTTTAAATATCTACAAGTTGAGAGAATATCCGTCGTAGTTAAATAAATTAGTCACTCATTTAAAAATAGACATTTTCATATAAGAAAAAAACACTAATTAAAACGACATTCAAATTTGGCATCATCTTTAGATTCATTGCGATATACAAGCATGAAATCCCATGCAGAATAAGAATCAACATGCAAATTTTTAAAATTCTTTTGAATATCTTATTTATGGTAATTTCATCTTCTTATCTTTTCCCAAATTATATTTGGCGATGAAATTCGATTCTTTAAATATCTTCTCCGCTTTGCAAGGATTCGTCCGTACAATAGTGTTACATTGCTTTAAGAAAATTACTATTTAGGTAGGATTAATAATTTATTTATCTCCCCAAACTATTCATGTTTATCAATTTGTTAGAGAATTTGGACTATGATTCTAATTAATAATACGTCAAATATATTTATTTCGTTTGATATTCTCATATTATAATCGATGATGCGTAAATAGTGTGATTGTGTTTCGTGATGCAAACTACACTATTTCGTAGGCCTTATGGTTATATTAACTGACAAGATGCTTAAAAATATAATCGAGTGGTGCATTTTACGGTACAAAAGACCATTCTACGGTTCTCCTTCAAATACTATACGAAACATGGTTTTAAAATAGTTCCTCTTAAGCTGATTTTGGTTTTACTTATTCCACTATTTTATTCCAAACAATATCTTGTGATTCCACATTCTCACATATTGTATTAGTATTACTGACTGAAAATATGTGAAGTTTCGACATAGAAAAACTTAAGAAATGAGAAATGTGATTTTTTTAATAGGTCGTACATGTATAGTCGATGTTTTCTAGGTAAATCTTAAGCTATGACTTGTTTTTGAAACCCAATAGCTAATTACAAGTGTCGCAATGCAAAACTATTCAAAACTATATTATTTGGATATTTATTTTGTGTATAATACAAAGGAAAAATGTAAGAAATTTTTATGTATCCGGCTTCACTATCATTGGGGAAAAAATAAAGAGAAGAGAAAATGAGTTTTTATGGGACAGAGAGCAGGTTTTCCTCTGTAATTGAGAAAACTCGGTAAAGACAAGTCAGCATTTGACACGTGTCGGTCTTGAATACGACCTATCATCGTGGCATATTTGCACTTACTCTGACGTGTCCAGCTGGGGACCACTTTCTCCTCCGACACTTCGGCATGGCTTTTTCATATTTTAAATTTCTCTATCTTCTTCTCCACTCTCGTCTCAAAAGCGCGTGCATCACA